TTCTCTGCGGATCCGTGGACACGGCGAAGAAGAAGAAGAAGAAGAAGAAGAAGAAGAAGAAGAGGCGCGCACAATCTCTGCGCTCCCGCCGTGGCCTCCCCTCGTACCCTTATCTCGGCCAGCATCGAAGATAGCGAGCTCTCCGCGTTGCTCGCCAGCATCCGGCGAGCTCATATTGTTCTTCTCCGTGCGCGCCGTGTAACTTACCGAGCGAACGAGACCGAGAGAGTACCCTCTCCTCACTCTCTCTCTCTCTCTCTCTATCGCTCTCGTTTGCTTCGTATAGCAGCAGTTGCCTACTTTTACGTTACTTTTTCTGCCCCCCCCGCGAGTGTGCAGAGGCAGTGAGACACGGTCTCTCTCGGCTCGACTCGTGCGTTCGCGACGGACTTAACGAAGTCGAGGATTCCACCCCCCGCGTGCCTTCTCGAAAATCGCCGCCAAGGTTTCCACGGCGAGATCGAGTCCGGTTCTCGAAACGGGAGAGAGAGCGCGTCGATGGCCGATCGCGCGCGACTGCCTTCGAGAGGACTTGGCTCGTGTTCGCGCGTCCGCGCGTATTAGGGCGGCCGGTCGAAGCGGCGAACACGCGGACGACGACGACGACGACGACGACGACGACGCAGCCATACGGAGAAGCTCGGTAACACGATAGCGGCCGTATGTAAAACCATCTGGTGTAAAACGAGCTGCTGGCTCGTTCGAGTATTAAATCGGCCCGCTCTCGCCCCCCGCTAGCCCCCCGGCGTACCTCAGGCCGCGCTCTTTTCGTCCGTCCGCTTCTCTTCCTCCCACGATCCGCCCCACGAATCGCTCCCTTTATCCGGCTGCTCCTCGCGATCCCTTTTTTCCGCCCGTCCTCCGATCATCCGCTCGCGACGGAAAGCTCCGCGTACCCTACTACAACGCTCGTGGACACGAGGAATCCGCGCTAAGCCCCCCCCTCGCGGTGGAACGTCGCGCGGCGCAGCGGATGAACTCGTCGCCGTGTTCACGTGTCGGCCTCGGGACGCCGCACGTCCACCGGTCGAACCGTCCTCTCGCGTTAAACTCCCGGCTTAATCGGCCGGTCGACCGGTCGCGGAACAAAGGAAGGCCTGCTCGCGGCGATCGCCGCCCAGAGATATCGCCGATGCCTACTTGCCGAGAAACAACGCCGCGTCGCTTTCCTCCTAAGCGGAGGAAAAACGCCGCGGAGGGTACCCCGATCCGCTCCAATGCGCTGCGCGTTGCTCCACCACCGTGGAAACGTCGCTTCGTAGCAATCGTCCAAGAGCGAGCGTGGTCCCCCGGAAAAATGGGGAATTTTCGGTATCGCGTGACGAGACGAGGCACGCGGACCGCGACGAGCGTGTAATGGCCGGTAAAGACGCGCCGGGTACCCGGATCGGTTGGAAATAACACGTTCCTGTCGGAAATGGCACGAGAAGCAAACGGTAACGACATACTCGAGAGCTAGGCGAAATTACGACGCTCCGAACGGCGCCTAAATTGCTACTCTTTCCCGTAGGATCCTTAAACCTCGA